AAGCTTGAAACCCGTTATAAAGCTGAGAGCGGGGCCTTTATTAGATGAAGTCACGACCAGGGACTTGATTATGTCATTTTTCAATCTCGGAGACCACAGCTTGTTAAAAGTTTCATATTATATATAAATATATTTATTAATCTTGATAGTACTTATAATACAGGGTGCTGCAACAGTGGGTCGGGCCATACCCAAAATATACAGGGTTGTTCACCACATACGACACGGAGTATTGTAGTTAAACGATGAGATTTTTACAAATTATAAGTTTTAAGTTCCATGAAGGACCATTAGAGCTACAATTTAAAAATATTTTTACAAGATACAGAGTGTCCCAAATAAATAAAAAATATCAAAGTTGTATTTTTTTTAATGGAACACCCTCTATATTATTACATTTTTAGTTTCTACGATTAAAATAAAAGTAAATTTGATCACACCTTACCGTTTTTGATATATTTTCAATTTTGTGAAATTGCAGTAAAAATTTTAAGGCTTCATTTCTCCAAGGGTATCAAAGTTTTTAATACTAAATATTTACTGAAGTTTATTTATTGATCAGTTATTGTGTTGCAATAATAAAAATAATACTACCTTATACAGAGTGTCTAAAAAATTACTTTAAATAATTATTAGCTTTAAACGGCAATAACTTGTTTAATCTAAATGGAATACCCTGTTTATTTTATGAGAATCAGATGCACAATTTAATTGTCTATCAAATTGTATTATACCATTTTTTACCTATCTCTTCAAGTTTTCGTAGAAAACGCATTTTCTTGTAATTTAGAATTTATTTATCAATATACCCATGGAATACTGACATTTTAGATCATTTTTAAAGATGTACGACATTTTTAAAGAGTACAGATACTAATATTGTCGATATAATTCGTTTATTTCATTAAAAAATAAAAAAAAAACTGTTTAAATATTTGTTAACGAGGACCAATTAATATGATTCCAGTATTCAAACTACATTAACTGACTGTTTGCGTTGATTAATAATAATTGCCCCAAATACTAAAAAACTGAGTTTTGTATGTGTATTAGACAGCGTGGTAAAAAATAACACCTTAGAAATGATATTTCATTTTTTAATAATTGCTTACATATTTATAACAACAAAGACGTTCATTTTCATAACTTATTATTATATTGATTTCTGATTCAAATCCACATTTATTTAGAATAATTTATTAACGAACACAATTAAGTATGTAATTAATTAGTATTTGGGCGGAAATAATGGTATTATATTTAATTAATGGTATACTCTTTTATACAGATTTAAATAGTTTTCTTTTTGCATACAAATGGGCTAGTTGTTATATTACTAGCCTGTACATTTTGTACATTTGGTGCTTTTAAAACAACCCAAAATGTCAATATTCCATGGGTATATTAATAAATGAGGTCTAAATTATAAGAAAATGTATTTTCTACGAAAACTTGAAGGGATAGGTCAAAAATGGTATAATACAATTTGATAGACAATTAAATTGTGCATCTGATTGTCCTAAAATATTTTGGGCGTTCCATTTAAATTAAAGAAGTTATTAGCGTTTAAAGCTAGAAATTATTTAAAATAATTTTTAGACACTCTGTATGAGGTAGTATTATTTTTATTATTGCAACACAATCAATAAATAAACTTCAGTAAATATGTAGTATTAAAAACTTTGATACCCTTGGAGAAATGAAGCTATAAAATTTTTACTGCAATTTCACAAAATTGAAAATATTTCAAAAACGGTAAGTTTTAAAAAAAAATTAACAAATTTACCTTTATTTTAATAGTAGAAACTAAAAATGTAATAATATACATGGTGTTCCATTTAAAAAAATACAACTTTGATATTTTTTATTTACTTGGGACACTCTGTATATTGTAAAAATATTTTTAAATTGTAGCTCTAATAGTCCTTCAACGAACCCAAAACTTACAATTTGTAAAAATCTAATCGTTTAGCTACAATACTCCTTGTCGTATGTGGTGAACAACCCTGTATACTAAGAAAAAGATTTTAATTTCTACAGGGTGGTTCAAAAAAGTGTAAATGGATTCGGATTTTTTTCTTTTTTTCTTTTGTTCTTTAAACAGAACACCTTGTATGTTTTTGCAAAAAAAACAAAAGTCCAAAACAAAAGACCAAACCATTTTTTTTAATTTTAACATTAAGTTTTTTTTCACCATGGGCCACCACTTTGTGAGAATGAACAAACTTTATAACTTAGATAAACATATATTTCAGCCTTTTTTAAAACATTTTTTATAACTATAAGTTGTGTCTTGAAATCAAAACTATGCCAGATACTTACTATAGTTGGTTTGTATTTATTATATTATACAAATATGGCAATTTTAAATAATACAGGGTGTTTAAAATTCCATGCCAAACTTTCCAAATTATAAAACATCTTTTCTTCATGTTTTTAGAGAGATTAGAAATGAGCATTTATTATAAATATAGTATTTTAAAATTTTTAACGGTTTCACAGATATTTGCGGTATTATTACATTATGTCTCTTTCAATGGTAAAATTCCAGATAAAGTTCATTAGGTGGATTTGATAAAAATTTACTATTGAAAGAGCCATATGTAATATAGTAATATAATACCGCGAATAATTGCAAAACCGTCAAAATTTTGAAATACATTAAATTTAACAATTATTCGTTCTTTAATTCTGCATCTAACAATAAAAATTATATACTGACTGTTCCGTTTAAAAAAAACAAGTACAATTATTTTATATTTTATAAAGTTTGGCATGGAATTTTGTCCACTCTGTATGATTTGATATAACGATATTTATAGCTAAGTAAGTACAGATCTTCTATAGTAAATACATAGTATAGTTTTGATTCTGCCGAGGATTCTAAGGTATTTCTTGTAATTTTAATTTTAATACATGTTTTAAAAATGCTGAAAAATGTATCTTTTATTTATTTATTCATATCTCTCGAATTATCAAAACAAATTGAATAATACTTTAGGATTATGTAAAGTGGTCAGAAAGGAAGCAAAAATGCAATAATATACAGGGTCTTCCATTTAAAAAAAAATATCCCAATTCTCATACTTTTTTGTGCCTCCCTGTAGAAGTTAAAATATTTTTTTGAAACTTTTTGTTTGCACTTAAATAAAATTTATCAGTTTTTTAATATAGGAGCTACAGATGCCCGACGCACTGTTGCAGGGCTATGTACTCAGCGTATGACCGAAAAAAAAACGGCGTCCGGTTGGCTTGGAAATGTCATCGGATTATATTCATTTCCAAGTCAACTGGACACCGTTTTTCGATCATACGGTATATGCTATCTAAAAAAGCTTCAAACCATAGCAAAAAAAATAAACAGATACAAATAAAAATTGCGTTTTTTTCGTGACGATTAATTTGAGAGACAAAAGCTCTTGAACTTGTCAGTAATAAAAAAAACACAGAACGACAGTGGTGAGGTTCAATATACCAAGCGTGAAATTAAAATTATGAAAACTACAAGTCAGCGTTTCAGCACCTTCTTTTTATTATCTTCTTATCGTGTTTTAACTCTTTTTCTTCCTGCTTTCCAGTGGAGAAGATTTCATTTGATGTGGGAAAACCAATTGGAAAGAACCATCAAATATACAGCGTGTACCAGACATTATTATATTAAACCCTATACAGGGTGGCGCTCAATCTTTTGACTGAACAATTTGAATCTTAATGAAAAAAAAGGTGCATTTTTAGCATAGATTTTTATATAATGTTTTCAAAAAAAGTTACACATCGAAGGTGCGCTTTTTGTAATGGAACTTTCTATACGGGGTGATTCTTAAGTGCAAATATTTTTAGAGGTAGTATATTTCGACCCCAGAAACACGTCTATGAATTTTTTTTCGCGAAAAAAAAAATTATAATAAAAATAAAGTAATGTTTTTTGAAAAAAATTTGGATTTCTTTTTTAGTTTTTAGGTAGAAAACATAATTTCTTGATAATATGGCAACATAGGTAGTAGATTAAATTTACAAGAAAAAAAAAACAGAAAAGATCCAGTGGTTCTCGAAATTTAAGCAAAAAATCATTTTTTAATGATTTTTAAGAAACTCCGTTAATTTGGACCTATTTGTAAAACGGTAAAGAGAAAATGTGTTTCTTTTATCGAAATCTATACAAGCCCTGAGAATATTTCCACTTATTTAAGACCCACCCTGTATATTAATTGATTTTCGGAAATAAAGATAATTTTTATTGGAGAAGCATAATATGACTAAAATATAAGGTTGTTGAAATTTTAACATTAAACGTTTTCTAAAAATAGAGAATAAATTTTAAATTCCATTTTAAAAGCTACCTAAATTGGAATTTGCCCGGTATCGCCTAATGCGAAGTTAAAATAACCATCATACTTTAAAATAAATTAAAATTTTACCCAAACGTTAAGATATACAGGGTGATTATTTGAACATTGGACACTGTATATTTTTTCAATATAATCACAGACAGGACTGCAACAAGTCAGTTTGAAAAAGACTTAAAAATCTTAAGTCAATATCAACATAAAGTTTTAAGTTATTTATCTTAATCTTTGACTTAAACGATTCTTTCAAGTCAAGTCATTTTCGTAAGTAATATAATGTAATTTAAGTCCTTTTTATGACTTAATCTTATATTTTTGACTTAAATTATGATGATTTGTGAGTTAAGTCGATAAAATGACTTATATCAAAATAATTACCGTCAAGTCAAGACAGCCAAAGTTCACTTTAAGGGCCTATTTTTTAATGTTAGTATAAATTTTCTTGTATTACTGATTGGGTCGATTTCCTTATTAACTACATTATTAATTTATTATACGTACAAATGAGACTAAAACATTAAAAAGTGGTGATACTTTTTGATCACTACGTAATATGTCGTAGAATGATGATGTCACTAAAGTGATTTAAACTCAAAACAGCCTGCAGGTCTAGTCACAGAATATTTTGTTAATTTAATATATTTTTTGTTCCAGGAGCTTTTTTCTCAACTCCAGTTCAGCCCTGAGACAGCCCTGCCTCCAGATGCCCTTCGTAGGGCTCTGGCCGAATCTTTCTTCGATCAACAACGATTTCAACTGGGATTTATGGACGATGCCGGTAAATATCATCAAAATAACCCTTTTTAAAATACTTTTCTCTGCAAACTTCAGTAAAAGTAATAGTTTAATACCTATTTAAAAGTAATTGGCTTATATTTTTTCCATAGCAACTGTTAAAATAGTTGGTTGTGTAGCGTGCGGTAGATCTCGGCAAAAAATGAGTATTCTACTACTGATAGTTGTATAAAGGTAGTAAATCTAGATGGAAATTGTGGCAGAACTTAAATTAACAGTGACACTATCGCGATTTATAGAAAAAGACTCTAAAATAGTTGGTTGTATAGCGTGCGGTAGATCTCGGCAAAAATTGAGTGAAATAATGGAACAACTTTTCGCTAGTAAGTGACTATATAATATACATACGTGTAGTAACCCGATCATTTATGAAATTCACTTAAATTAACTAAATTATATATTTTTCTTGCATTTTAGCTTTTATTTATTACTTGTCAAAGATTAGATGTCAAAGAATTTAGATACGTTAATTTGACTTACCTGCTTCAGTAGCGTATCGGATGTTTGTGTTAATAAATACTTATTAACTTATCTATTTTTTTTAGAATTATATATTTTTATAACAATTTTAATAACTACCAACATTTATTCACAACGTAAAATAAAACAACAAATTATTGAGTCTACCCCACGTCTACCCTACATCATAGTTTTACATTTTTTAAATAAAATTAGAACGACACTGCTAAACTGGTATTTAAGTCGGCCATATTTGAGGCCCATCGCGGTGTACCTAAGATTTTTGATATGCTCCTTCCTTAGTCTTCTTATTCAAAGATAGAAACCAACGCCAACCCAGCACAATATTTTTTCTACTCGTAATAAATTCCTTGAAATAATAATTTATGAATATTTTTTAAAACGTAACTCGCTATGGAAAAAAATATTGTATTACAGTAAAGACTCGATAATCCGGATCAATTAAAGCACAGGTTAATCCGGATCAATAAAAAAAAAATCCGGATTATCGCGATTTGCATTTTTTATAGACATATATTTAAGAAAACGAATAAAATAAAACATTTTTATTAACAGAATCTTCAACAAATATAATTTAAGTAAGAATAAGTATATACTATAACAAAACTCGTTGTGAATAGAAACATACATCCTATAGATACCAAAGTATAAAATACATACTACATTATTTAAAATAATCAAAGATTTTACTTTGTTTTTTAAGTGCATTAACTGAAGAATGCTTAACTATAGCTTCCTCTTGTATATTTTTTAAGACAAGAATATCGTTAATACTAAGATCATTCTCTTCAGCCCTCTGCAATCCCAGTATAAAAAATTTTATTGCATCAACGTGCTTGATTTTTTTTTTGACTGGATATAGATTTCTTCATCGCTCGTCGGCGTCGTCTATAACTTCATGTTCGAGATCACTATCCTCTACGATATTTTCAGAGTTTTCAACCCATTGATTCATTTCAGCATTTGTATGAATCTCTCCATCAATTTGCGTCAACATGTTTAAAATGTCTTGGTAGCCATGTTTTACTTGCTGCAATTTCTTTTGCAACTGGCTAGGGGAATGAGATCATCAGGGTCATAATCTGGTAAATTTCCTGATAAAAGTTTTTCTAAAGAGGTCGTTCTAACTTTTTGCCATGAATTATGAAATAAACAAACTGCATCCATAAGATTAATTTGCTTAATGCATTTACCAATATCATTCCCGTCTTAAGTTGCGAAAGGATATGGGCTAAAAGACCTTTTCGGTAGTTTAGCTTTGTTAATCTGATCGCATTTTGATCCGGCCGTCAAATTATTACGATATAAATGAATTACCGCTTCGAGAAAACGCGTTAAAACAAGTTAGAACCACAAATTCGGATTACCGAATCAAACGAAATCCGGATTACAAGGTACATAATGCAAGTGCGCAGCCGATCCGGACTAGCAAGGAATCCGAATTAACGCTCTTCGGATTATCGAGTCTTTACTGTATACACGACCATAAAATTGCATTATCGTCTTGTATAAAAAATAACTAAAATAACTATTTCTAATTTTATTTTATATTACAGCCGAATGTTTCGAAAATATGCTTTTACGAATCCACCAACATGTGGCTCATGGACAAGCTGAAGACGCCTGTGCAGCGCCGCATTGCGTGCCTCATCAGAAGTTCGCTATGACTTTGGTAGAGCAAGCTGTTTGTGGCAATTGTGGGGCCACATCAGAGCCCCTGAGTTACACGCAGGTAATTTTAAGTCTGTATTATAGAGGTTATATTCCACGTCAGGATTAGTAACATGTGTATAAGCTTAGAAATAGCTGTTAGTATATGGCCGAGAAGATTTTTACCACTTTTCGTCTCGGTAGCTCGCGTGTCATTGAATTTTCGGCCTTGAATTTTTACTCCCAGCCCGAGTAAGGAAGTTTCACTTCAAAAATATACAGGGCGTTTCAAAAAACATGTGCCATCTCTCGAGGGGAGATTCCTCACGTAAAAATAAGACTTATTTTTCATATCAACATAGGTCCGATTCTGCTTTGTTTCGTAGCTACAGGGTGTCAAAGTCTTAATAATCTTTCGATTTATTATAATTTTCCTCCAAATACTTTTAGTGATTCGAATAAAAAAAATAAAATTGTAAATGTTACTATAAGTGTTATATATTTTAATGCTAAAAAAGTGTCAATAAATTTATCAGGGACGTGCATATGGGTTATCACTGGAATATTTTTCAAAAAAAAACATGTGCGCCACTGACTTTTTTTCTTTTGATATGAAAATTGTGTAGGCCGTTTAATGTCAATTAAAAGTTATCTCTTGATATTTTGTACAATTCAGCCTCCTTGATGAGATAAACGCAATTTTATTAATGACAATCAATAAAATTAAAATAAAAATAAAATTAATAAATTATATATTTCACCTGATTTATTATTAAATATTATTACTATTAGTTATTATTACTATTAGTCCAACATACAGCAGTTTCAAATAAAAAAATTATGGTATTTAAGATAATTACAAAAAAACTAATTTTAAAAAGTTTTAACATCCTGTAACTCTAAAACTATGCATTTCGATACCCATGTTTATAGGAACTTTTTTTCATATTTTTTGATGAGAAATCAATGGTTACTTATCTAAAACTTTCGCAAGTTAATGATATTAAAAATGTTTAAAGGTTGCTATTGACTTGGATCAAGGCAAATTAATAAAATTGCGTTTATCTCATCAAGGAGGCCGAAATCGACAAAATATTAAGAAACAACTTTTAATTGGCATTAAATTGCTTACACTATTTTGCTAACAAGAGAAAAAAAAGTCAATGGCGTACCTGCTTTTTTTAGAAAAATATTCCAGTTAACCCATATGCACTTCCCTGGTGAATATGTCGACACTTTTTTAGCTTTAAAATATGTCGAATTTATAGATACTTTTACCGTCAAAATTTCATTCGAACAGCTAAAAGTACTGGATGGCACATGTTTTTTGAGACACCCTGTATAAACAATGGCAATTCGAAATTCTTTTAGTTTCAATAGAAACTCTAGTTAAAACTAGGGTCACTGTCATTAACTATGATTTTTCAAAGTTTTCCTTAATGAATTATTCCTGGTGTTTGGTTTGAAATAACAAATAAAATGTGAAAATTAATATTCTACAGGGTTTATATCGAAGAATGCGCATATAGTATGGTAATTGAAAGGCGAGGTTGATTATTATTACATAATCGTACGGTCGAACGGTGTTTACATAGCTTTATGGTAATAAATATATAAATGGTAAATGGTATGAAAAAATTGTTGGAAATTAAATAAACGCCTTTGTAGGTAACCGTGATATAAAGCGACTAAAGAATAGTATGTCGATTGTTTTTCAAACTACAATATATGATTAGATATCAATTTAGAACCTTGGGGCTATATAATTTTCGTGATATTTGCATGCGAACACCTGATTTTGATTTCTTCCAGTGGAATTATAAATGTGAACAAGTGGAGGATTTTTTAAACGATTATTCTTTCTTATATTTAAGATTATACGAGAAAAAACTCAAACTTGCAGAATAGTTTCTATAATCTTACAGACAAGTATTAAATTCGTTAAATAAAGACATCATCAGCAGCATTATTATTTTCAGCTTATTCAACCATTTCCAATTATGGTGTAGTCTCCCTCACATATTTAGATACTCCCTTTAGATCTCTAGTAGAGATCCCGGGCTGTGTTGGGCAATAAGTGCTTACTTATTAAACTATTGTAGGTAAATTAAATTTAAGTAAACTGTTATAAATTTAAAGAAAGTCCATAGCCGAATGTCAATTTTGACAGTTTTTACAACCAGTCATCTTGATTGCCATTTTATTAAAAAATCGCTTTTTATGCAAAATCTGAACCAGATGGTTATAGGAAACCCTAATATAGTTTGAAAGAGCATTTAAATCTACTTCGACTTATTTTAAAAAATACAGAGTATTGCATTTGAAATAACGAACTTTTTATGTAAAATAGACATTTAAAATAGACCAGCAATTTTTATACCCCCTGTGTACATTTAAGGCAATCAAATTTTTTAGTAAATTTTAGTTTTCTGACTTAAAAATCAGCACAAGAATTAATTCTGAAAAGTAATGTAGAAGGTGTTGACAAACTTTTTTATTATAGCTTGCATATTTAAATTTCTTTAAATATATCAAAAACCAAACCTTTAAACATATTAAACCCTTATAATAAATGTCCTAGATTGTCCCTTATTTTATGTCCTGGTATCCAAAAATGATATAAAATGCTCCGTAAGAAAAAATATAACTTTGGTATGGATCTTAGTTCTGACACACAATGTACATTTAAAAAAAAATTAAATTGTGCACATTGTCTTCCCACATAAATCCTTAAAATATGTTGTTTCTACATCTTTCTTTTTTTTACATTTAAAAATATCTAAAGATATATTTTATTTTTTCTAGATGGTTCACTATGTTTCGACTTCGACTTTAGTCTACCAAGTACGAACGAATTCTGGACGCCAAGGCCCTCTGGATACTTTCGGAAAGCTGCTACAAAAAGCTGGAAGTATGGGTGACATCAGGCAATGTCCCGTAAGTTTTAGAATCCAATGTTTTAATATATTCCCAACTAAACAGTGTATTATTTCATTTTCAGAGCGCCTGTGGTTCAGTGATACAAATAGGACGAACCCTAATGAATCATCCCGAAATAGTTTCAGTCGGTTTGGTCTGGAACTCTGAACGTCCCACTCTAGAGCACATCATGGAAGTATTTGCATCCATAGGAACGAATTTGAGGCTTGGAGATGTCTTCAATAGCGTGGTAGACTCCAGATGGGCAGAAAATTCCATCCACAACTTGGTTGGTGTTGTTACTTACTACGGAAAACATTACTCCACCTTCTTTTTCCATACAAAACTCAGAGTGTGGATCTATTTCGACGATGCAACTGTGAGGGAAGTGGGACCTCGTTGGGATCAAGTGGTCGAAAAATGCAGGAAAGGGCGATATCAGCCTTTATTGTTGCTGTATGCATCACCCGATGGGACTCCGGTAAACACTGACAACGCTCCAAAGCAAATAACGCCCTTTTACACGGACAAAACCAAGTCGAAACCGATGGTTAATCAACAACTACTCAGAAGATCGGTCACACCAAGTCCCGAAAAGCCCATAATAGGAAATACCAGACGTGCCATAACACCTAACCCCGAAAATTCGCCATTAAGTCAAAAGCCTCCTTTACCCAGGTCATATAACGAATACCAGAACCTTGCTGTTATCCAGAAGAACATTTATCCGCCCAGAGAAGTCCAAAATTTTGATCAAGTTGATGGTTGTTTGAATAAAAAAGAGCCAGATTACGTTATAAGGAAACCTCTAGAGTTTGTCAAGCCCCATGTTAACGTTCACAGGACTCTGAGTAATGGGTCTTCATCTGGAGTTGAAGGAATGCCAGATCATGTTAATTTACCGAGAAGACGTGATAGTGGGAACTGGAGCGGTGATAGAAACAGTGCCTCATCTGCTTCTTCAACCACCATGGAGAATCCTTACCTGTATTTAGTTGGAAAGGTTCCTCATGGAAGTGGTAGCGTTCCTGGAAGCCCTACAAGAATAAAAAGTGATTCTTCTAGCGGAAGTAGTGGAGTTTATGATGCTGGCTACGATTCTTATTCGTTATCATCAAACGACAGCTCAAGCATGAGCACTTTACAGCACTTAATGAAAATGGGGCATTTAGCAAAAATTCCTGAGGACTACAGCAACGTTATAGCTAACCAACCGTCTTTAAGCTGTGACGTGCTTTGTGATGAAGCTGACGAGTTACTGGTGAAGTCACGTCAACTCGAAGACGAGCATGATCTTGTTTTAGCGTTAGCTCTATGCAACGCTGCTGCTACTAAAGCTAGGGCTGCTATGAATGCTCCGTATAACAACCCTCAGACGTTGACTTTAGCTCGCATGAAGCATAATACTTGTATAATGCGTGCTAGAAGCTTACACAGACGAATGACGCAGACTCAGAACACAAACAAGGAAAATACTCCAGAAATCCGACATACTCGTGAAGGTAGTAGTGGAAGTGGTAGACATTCACGTCAGAACTCCAGAGATAAAGGTAGTCATTCCAGACAGAACAGCAGGGAGCTTCTGTTACAACAAGAAAAAGAAAAACCGAAAGTAACGAAAAATATCGAGATATATGCGACTCTACCCAAGAAAAAAGATGCCCTAAAAGCGAAGTTAAACGAAATAAGTATCGAAGATGCCGAGTACGTGATCTACGACAAGGCTCCCGAACGAGAATCCAGGTCTATATTCTCCAGATCGAAAAATAAAGACTCCAAGGTGAAAGAAAAACGTTCCAGAAGTGAGGATCGACACAAAATTAGCCGAAGCGACTTTTCAATAGCTCCAGAAATCATTACCGGCAAAGACACTTTGAAAAAAGCTAAAGACAACAAGGACAAGGAAGAAAAGAAGGATAAGGATGGTAAAACGAAGAAACAGCACAAAATCAGACGAAAACTCTTAATGGGAGGCTTGATCAAAAGAAAGAACAGAAGCATGCCGGATTTAACTGATGCAAATGTTGTAGAAACATCAGGAAGTAAGTCACCTCCCTGTGTTATCGCTGATGACAGTACTGTAGGCCTTAAGGGTACTACTGAAAATCAAAAAGTTATGACTGGGTATTTGTCTGAAGGTCATCTTGAGTTTGCTGGTTCTAACGCCAACCCAAATCTAGAAAGGAGTAAGTTGATGAGGAAAAGCTTCCACGGGAGTGCTGGAAAGATCTTGGCAGTTGCAAAAGTTCCTCCACCACCACCCCTACGCACTACTTCCCAGCTTAGCACGTCTAAGTTAAACTCTTCGGGAGAAGTAGCTGAAGAGACTCTGGATAATTCTTTCATGGGTCATTACCATAACCTGAATCCCTACAATAGGTCTTATGAGGAACAGGGATCCATGTCGCTGCCATATTACCATAACAACAATAGTTCCTACGATGACGATTCTTTTGGTTCTTCTTCACGAACTGTAGTGACTCAGGCCGATGTACATCACGAACAATCGCCTATGAGCAACAATAACGACAGTGGTGTAGATGAAGTTGACTGTATGCCATCACATCCAGTACCTTTACTGGAATTACCGCCTTATCCAAGTCCCATAGGATCAGTAATTCATTCCAGACAAGCCAGTGAAGATTTTCCTCCGCCTCCACCACCTCTAGACCTGTCTGCTTTGGAGGAATATCTCCCAAAACCAACTCTAATAGAAGAAGAGGCTTCTCCAGAGCCCAATAGTTTACTTGCGCAGCTTCAGAATAAAAGGCAACAAATTCTGTCCCATGAAACTGAGGCGCAGAAGATCAAAACATGTCCGATTCAAACCAGCTCAGTAAGATCAAGTGGTGATACTTGGTTGAAGGAGTTGCAAGCTAAACAAGCAGCTCTTAGAATAAAGAAATCCGGAGCAGTTGATAATCAAATAGGTGTGGACGAAGTTAACACTCAAAAATACCTCCCAGGTGAGCAGAAAATAAATTCAGTAAAAGATCTCGCTTCAAAGTTTGAGATTACTGAACCTAGTAAACCTGTACCTCCAGTTAAGCCACAAGATAAACCTGTAACAGCTACTATAAATGGTTTAAAACCACGAGAAATAGATGGAAATGTTATTTGTCCAGAACAAATCGCCGAAGAACTACGTGAAGTCGAAATGCTATCTTCGGCAGTCAATAAGGTTATGAACGGAAATCAAGATACTTCTGAAGAGAATATCCGAAAAATCAAGGTTGGGAAAAAGAAAAGTGTATCTTTTTGTGATCAAGTCATCTTAGTTGCTACAGCAGAAGAGCAAGAGGATGACAGTTATATCCCTAACCCAATTTTAGAAAGAGTTTTGAGATCAGCAATGAATAAACCGGAAGCAGCTGCTATCAGGCAGGAAATATTGTCGTTAAGGGAACAAGATGGCGATGTTCAACTTGAGAAAACTCCACCTCAGAAACCACAGATGTCTGTACCACTGAACGACGTTGCACAACCCTTGTATATTAGAAGAAATTCTTTGGATAACTTACTAAATTCACAAAACACATCAGAGTCTTCAGAAACTTGTAAATATCCCACACAAAACGCGGGCTATAATACTCAGGTAGTACCTCAACCTAACCTAAATTCTGGTGACGTTCAGGTGATGCCTGATCAACAGTATTATGGCAATTATGGTACAAACGGTCCGGTAGTTCCACAAAACTATCAACCACCCCCTCCTCAAAGTACAAACGACATTAACAGTCAATATCAGTACAATTCCCATTCACAAATTCACAATAATCAAAGTCAGCAAGCCAATGGGTACTATTATGCGAGAGAGAATCAACAGCCTGCAGTAAATGGACAGTACGTGAGACAGAGTGACATACAACAGTACAAATCGTACCAGACACCCCATTATGGTCAAAATCATCAGGGTTACAACGGTCAACAGTATCAAGAACATGCTCCTCAACAAGGTCATTACGGTACTGTCCAGCAAAATGGACATTATCCTGAACAAAACACTCCTTACAGACAGTCGCCTTATCAGGTGGTCCCACCAAATGCGGCTGTCCATCCAGGGTACCGACAAATGCGTAGTACTCCAGATTATGGAAACCAGACTTATTCTACGTCGCCTAGAGTGCCTTATAATCAACCACAGATCAGGCAAAGTACGCCTAGTCCTATGGGGTACCCGTTCAATCATCCTCCTTCACCTGCACCATCCACAGTCAGTTCTAACTATAATTATCATCCAGCAATGTACAGAAACTCCCCGGTAAACAACAATAACAATTTGAACCAAGTTTACCAACGGGTACCGATGCCAAACGAATATACCCAAGGATATGGTTATGGCGAGACTCAATATTCTAGAAGTCCCCAGGAGGTTCATCAAAGAGTCCCGCCTCCTCATGGTGATGATCATGGGTTCCAGCAAGGAATGAAGTACCCGACATACCAACAGGTACCCAATCCAAAGCAACTGCTGAAGAAAACTGTGAGCTTTGAACCGGGTACTAAAGGTTGTGAATCTCCAACACCTAAAGCTATAGTGACACCGATTATAGTGAACAATTCGAACAACAGTGTCCCCACTGACAGGACGAAGTGTAACTTGTGTCGAAAAAAGAACGTGGCCGCATCGAATTTATACTGTATCGATTGTGAATTTTATATGTCCAGGTTTAAGCCTAGAAGCTAGCGATAATTTTTTTTTTCGAAAGTAATTTTGTACTTAATCAAAAGATTGTGATATTTTTTCGTAGATTTTTATATAAAATAATAAAGAGAATGTATATAGAAAGAAACAGATCTCAATTTGTAACGTAAGAGATTTTTGTACATATATTTTTTTAATGTTAGATTAAAGCTATGTTTATTGTTAAGAATGCCCTATGAGAGTATAAAATAAAGAATTAATATTAATACATTTTATTTATACGTTGTTTTATTTTCAAGCTTAATCTAAATCAAATATAAATGAATCGTTAAAAACCAGAGTGGTCTAAGTCAAAAAATGTAATTTTGAGAGATGTGGCTTCAAATTTAACGTTATAAGTGCTAAATGCTCACATAAGATATTAAGATTTTAACTTTGGTATTGTAACAAAATGGGACCAACTTAAATTTTCGCATAAAAGTAGATTGTATTTTTGTCAGTTTATTATGTATTTTTTATTTTTTTGACTTGGACCATTCTGGCTTTCAATTGACGAAGACTATTAGTGAGTGCATAATCTAAAATAAATATAAATAAATAAATGCCTTTATTGTCCAAAAATTTTTCAATTTGTAGACAAAGGTAAACTAAACAAACAAAGTAAACAAACAAGGTACACAAACAAACAAATAAAAGATAATACAAAACATTATACAAATAATATTGTCAGTCTTTAAAATAAACATTTATAAATGTTTACAATGTCAAAGAACAAAAAAATAAAAATAACATTCAAAAATATTTAGCTAGTTTATAGTAAATATCAATGACCTCTATATAAATTTATTTCGATGACATTAGTAAATATAGCAATAGCAAACATTAGACCAGTGTTTACAAGATCAAATTCGATTTTCAAAATATAATTCATTTACAGCGTAGAAAGCCTTGTCTAGTAAATAAGAGTTCAATGCTTTGCAAAATGAAGAAAATGATGTTATGGATTTGATTTCAAATGGCAGGTGATTGTGCATTTTTTTCGAGTTGTATAATATTGAAGTTTTAACTAACTCTGAGCGTGGGGTAGGTAGATAAAGATCTTGCTCCGCGTTCCTGAATGGATAAGTGTGAGATGGCCTTTCTTGAGAAGCTGATACATGCTTACGTATTAGGCAAACGGATTCAAATATAAATAAGGAAGGAAGAGTCAATATTTTTAATTTTTTAAAAAAGTCCTGGCAATGAGTTCTGCTGTTTAGTCCCAGTGAATATCGAACAGCTCTCTTCTGGAGCTTGAAAATGCGGTCAAATTGAGTCGCACAACACGTACCCCAGAATGGAAGGGCATACCTGAGGTGCGACTAAAAAAGTGCATAATAAACAGTTCTAGCCACTGACAAGTTAAGCTCCTTAAAAACAGATCTTAATGCAAAACAGGCAGAGCTTAATTTTTTCGACAAAGCTTGGATATGAATGTCCCATTTCAAAGAATTGTCTACAACAAGCCCTAAGAATTTTACAGATTTTACGACGTCAATGGAGGTGCTGTTAAGTACAAAAGGCTGCAGCGAGTTTTTATACGACAAAGCTTTAGTTTTAGAAATGTTGAGACTCAAGAGGTTCGAATCGCACCAATATTTAATAGTGATTAAGTCGTTTGATATAATCCTATGAAGTGTCGCAACGTCCTTGTTGCTCCAAGTGAAGCTAGTGTCGTCCGCAAAAAGACATATTTTGCCACTGATGTTTATGTTAGCAATGTCGTTAATAAAAAGAAGAAACAAAATAGGGCCTAGTACTGTGCCTTAATGTGGTACTCCACATTCTATTGGCTTGCTAGAAGACAACGTGGTATCCACCCTCACAAGTTGACTTCTGTTGCTCAGATACGACTTAAACCATTCGAGAGATGAATTTATGAAAAATAATGTAAATATATATTTGTAAAATATCAGTTAATATATATGTAAAATATCTCTTGATAAAAAGTCTTCATCTAAATAAAAAAATATATTTAAAAAAAACTGTATCTATGTCTTTTTTTTCACAATAAGGGGCCGTCCTCTGCCGGAAACACTGCGAACTGTATCTGTGTCTTACAAATGTTAATAAGATAATATAACGGTTTAACAAGTTAAGAAATAATAAGTATCTGATAGTATCAGAATTATCAAAAATACTCTAGTTAAGCTCTTTACATTTTCATTTTTTTTATTCGATTTTATTTTGTAAGAAAAACGCTACATCGCATAATTTTTGAGGAATAATTTTTTGGAAAATTTATTGTTCCAAAGCAGACTTACAAAATATACAGGGAGTTCCAGTATTCCGTAGACACAGAATAAGTACGTATTTCGGGAATCAAAATAAGTTAATTGCACATAATATACCTTTATACAAATGTGCTTCGTTAAGGTGGCTACACACACTAATGCAAGCTTGACAAGCATGCATGAACAATCTTTTTGTACAAGCAAACTGTAGCGCCTGTCGGGAAAAATTGCGCAAGCATTTTAATTGTGCAAGCCACTTGATGATCGATTAAATTTGAATCATGCAAGCTTGGACAAGCCATGCTTGCGCAATCGAAACGGTACGTGTGTACCACATGTATTCAGCTTGTACAAACAATTAGTTCAGTCCGTATCGTAAATGATTGATGTATCGTAAATGATGAATTAGTTCAGTCCTGTATCATCACCAGAATATCATGATAGGGTGAAGAAGGATGCAGCATACAAAAATTTACTTAATAAGTATATATATATATATATATATATATATATATATATATATATATATATATATATATATATATATATATATATATATATATAGTAAGATTGTTCATGCATGGTTGTCAAGCTTGCAGTAGTGTGTGTAGCCACCTTTAGAGGACATCAGTAAAAAATAAACCCGAACGTGAATTAATTTAAAATTTATTAATTTTGTTAAGCTTCTTATAAAGCAAAGCTTATATTGTCAAATATAATTTGTGGTACTAACATAAAATTTCATATTTTTGCCAACTGGATTATAAGAGTACTAGCGTGTACCAGCGACTTCGTTCGGGTCGAATTAATCATTTGTCATGGTGATGACAAAAGCAAAGCAAGAATTTCCATTAACATACAAACTGGATAAATTTTTCTTACATTTATGTCAGCATGAAAAAAAAACAATATGGCGATATTATTATATAACTTGGTAATATTTGAGAAGCAGTTTCATCTCGTTGGAATTTGGCTTTCGAAAAATCCGTTTGCCAAAAATAAGCTTTTTACGTCAAACACTTTAAGCAGAATCGTGGTTAAGAAATTACCCAACTTTTTGGAACACCCTGTATGATTTTTTAAAAAATTTCAAAATATGTAAAAAAACCAAATAAATTATGCTTGTCCAAACGTTTTCCCGATAGACTAACCGTTTTTTAAATAACAAATATTGTAATATTTGAGGGGCGTTTTCACCCTCTTGGAATTTGAGATTCGAGAAACCCCCCCTTATCGAATTTCTACACCCCACAGTCAATCCGTTTGCCAAAAATCAGCTTTAAACGTCAAGCAGTTTAAGAAAAATCGTGATTACTCAATGCTCATATTTTATGAAACACCCTGTATAAATTTATTAAAAATCTTAAAATATGTAAAACAACAAAATAAAATATACGTGTTTAAGAGTTTTTCCGGAAACCTCACCGGTTTTTAAATAAAAAATATTTTAATATTTGAGGGATAGTTTCACCAGGTTTCACCCCATTAGAATTCGAGTTTCGAAAAATTTCTTCTTATCGAACCTCTACACCCTAAAGTCAATCTGTTTTCCAAAAATCAGCTTTTTACGTCAAGCGCTTTAAGCAGGATCGTAATTAATCAATGACCAGATTTTTCGAAATACCCTGTATACATTTTTAAAAAATCTTAAAATATGTAAAAAAATAAAATAAAATATACGTGCTTAAGCGTTTTTTCGGAAACTTGACCGTTTTTTAAATAAAAAATATCGTAATATTTGATGGGTGGTTTCACCCTCTTGGAACTGGAATTTCGAAAAATCCCTTCTTATCGAACCTCTACACCCTAAAATCAACCTGTATGCCAAAATTGAGCTTCTTACGTTGAGTGGTTTGAGCAGGATCGTGATTAGTCAGTATGTCAGTCACTTAAGGATTTTATATATTAGTATAGATAATTGATTTTATTCGGCTCCATAGCTTGATGTGACAAAAAACATTTTTTGGAAGTCAGCTTCGGAAAAATATTTTTTTCCTCAAGAAGTATGCGCGGTGGCGTTTTTTTCGAGAAACAGACAATGCAGTAAATACTAGAAGAACTATTTTCCGAAAAAAAATTCGGACGCCAAAATTTATGTAGGGGTGGGTGTAGTTTTTAGCCTTCCTGTACTTTTTCTTGATTTTTCTCAAAATCAAATGTTAAAGCTCTTGGCGTAGACACCCAAAACCTCATTCAACGGTTCTTAAAATACCTATCTGAAAAAATGTATTTTTTTTTAAGTTTGATGCTCTCTAGCGGACAAACAAAGCACTTTTGTATAGAGGTAAAGGTAAAGGTGTGGATCCGGTGGCTGACCTTGAAGCCCATATTTGCTGCATTTGATCATTGATACCACGCAAGCGCACATCGTCGATGTTGCCAAATTGCAGTTTATTTTCGAATTATTTGTAGTTGAAATTTTTTTTTTGAGTGTTAATCAATAATAATTCAAATTCTATAATTAATTTTATAATTGCAGATTTATCTTGATATCCAAAATTAAGGTAAGAAGAATAATGAAGATTGTGAAATGAAAGTATTATGAATATATAAAATTGTAATAATAATAACATTTATTTATATATTTACATATTAGAATTAAAAATTATCATGTACGGATTTTTTCTTAATGGTTTTAAACTAATTAGAATTATTATATTTCTTTCATGTTATTTAATTTCTAGTTATTTACAGGCAACAATAGTTTTGATTATATGTATTGATATGTTTTGAAATACTACCATGACGAGTCTTATAAAACAATACACGTCAATGGGAGATATAGAGGTAACATTTTACCTATAATGTTACTAATATAATATACTTTGATTATAATGTTTGTATCATAATTTCTTAAAAATATCAAGTTAGTGGATTAATAGCAATTTTACGAAGAGTGTGTTGATAAGACTAAAATAAGCTTTATGTTTTATCTTTTTCTCTTTAGAAGGGAGATGGTATGTGTCGTAGAATACATTACTTATATTCTTTTCTTAATTTACTGTAATTTCTTGTATCCTATAATGCCAAATCTTGACAATATGGTGAAGGTTGAGTTTTGATCTTATTATTTTTATAAAAGGTTTTATACCTGTGTTTATACAAGACCAACTTAAGATTAGTTTGTAATTAGTTTGTGATTTATATTAAAGATCTTTCTTATAATATTTGTTATGTCTTAATCTTAATACTATATTATGCTTTGTCTGGAAAATAAATGTTAAAATATCTTAATTTTGTATAACCTATTCCATCCTTCCATTAGGAAAAATATGGTTTATAAATTATATTATGCTAAGAAAATCACATAAACTAGGTGTAAGAATAGAGAAATCTTAAGGTAGCAGAAAAATTAATGCAATATATGTATAAGCAGAATTAAACAAGGTAACTGTAAATGTTGCTGAAGCTGATTCTACAATTTTAATTACGGAGGCTAAAAGGCCTTTTAAGGCATCCGTAGTTTTGATGGAATGTTAAAAAAAACCTATTATGAACATGACATGGAGCTACAGCCTACAGCATTTAAAAATTAAAAAAAAAGAAAAAACTTGGACACATCCCTTTGAATTTCCCGAATTTTTAATAAAGCACTTTTGAAACGTAGCATAATAATCTAGAGCAATTAGATTAATTATAGGAATCTAGAGTTTTATTTTTATTTAATTTTATTGACTATGAAAATACATAATAAGCGTTCACGTTTCACGTGTTGTGCGAAATATTAAAATAATAATATAAATAATAAACCGCGTACTATGATTGAAAAAAATAGCGTCAGCGATGACTATGAAATGGAGATCGCTGTCATTTTATATGGAAAATGTCCTCAATCGTCATTTCCCAGCCAACTGGACGCCGTTTTTCGATCATACGGTATATATTGACCAAAAAAAAAACACTGAAAAGCACATATTTGTTTTCTACTGAAAATAATTCCAAAACAACTTGCAATCTGGCAACATCGAAGATGTGCGCATGCGTAGTGTCTGTGACTATATGCAGCAAAAACTCGTTTCAAGGTCAGCCACCGGATCCACACCATTACCGAGGTAAATTGTATCCAACAAACATATTTTGATTCCAAAAATACGTAGTAGGGTATTACCCGTAGTAGTTTTATGTCCACGGAATTTTGGGACACCCTTTAATTAATTATTTATATACAACCATATACAACTAATAATACAAATTACTTGTATAACTGGTTGCCTCACATATACTTATTCAATTTTAAATTTCAAATTATTTAATTTGGTATCTTTTTTATTTTATTAATACGCCAACCAGTTAAATATTAATGTGTAACCTTTAAAGTTTCAACAAAATGAACATAAACCACATAATATCTCCATTTCGCATAAATAAAACCCACTAAATTTATTTTTTAGTACTTCATTTACATAATATCAAATTAATTTAAAAATTGCTTAATAAATATCTTAAAATTTGCAGATAATTAATTTTAATGATGATAATACATACTAAAAAACAGGTAACAATTATTTGCTTTCATGTTTTTTAACAAAATACAAATATTTAAATAATTTATTTTGAGAATTATAAGTAGGTACATAAATGTGTGCAAGTTATTTTAAATAGCATTTTTCTAGGAGCGATAATATCAGAATGTTTTTGCAAATGCGAACAAGGTTTTGTTATAACTAATAAATAAATATAAGAGAATGTTTTTAATGATTAGAATAATTTAAATTAGAATACGATTGTTATTAAGAAACTCAAAAATCTCAAATGGGTTTTATATTGAAATAAGGCAATAAAATGCTACCTTATATTCATGGTCTCGAGCCACGACGGGTCCCACAAAAACAACACGATTTTTAAATGCTGACAGTTGTGCTATCTCCCACCATAGCACACGTTTTCGAACCATATATTTTGTATTTTGCTTTAATTTCGATTTCGTTCTTGGTGGGTTCCCGCACTTTCTCACTTAATAACTTAATTAAATACACCCTTATCAATTAAAAAATGTACATATCACTTAATAATGCCCTTTTTTATGGACTTGTTATGTGTGTTTTGTGTAACAGTTTAGTTTTTTGCAACATTTTCAGTGACAAAGTTAGTGTTTCTAATAAAACGAAATTTTTGACTGCCGGTAAAATTTACAGTGTTTTTATTATTAAATTAAGAGAAAAAAATGTGCTTTTGTGTGTTTCAGGAAACCCTGTTGAATCAATTTTAAAATCTCTTAGTACAGAGTGTGCGGAAGATTTTAGTTTTCTTGTAAAAGAGTTTGAAAATAAGGAATTATGGGCTTTAAAAGGTAAGAAATGTTATCAATAAGTTATTCACTTCTTATCTTCATAAAAATTTATATATCTACAGGGTGGTTCGAATTGTATTCGGATAACTTCGGTAACTAAAATGCTTCGTTTTGGAGATACAGGGTGAAGAATTTTCATTTTTATTTCGATTTTTTCCTAATAATTTATGAACTATAGTGAATATTGGGATGGAAATTGGTGTCTGGGTGTGATAATATTATTTTCGGTGAAACTTTGGCATAAAAACATTTGAAATTTATTATTTCAGTCTAATAAACTATCTAAACCTGTTTATTTTTTGTCAATAATGACATGTATTGATTATTTCGATTCAAAATATCTCGAGAAACATTACCAATACCGATTTTTACCAAGATTCCAAATTCTAATGTCAAAAAACACCTTGACACCAATTTTCATCCAAATATCGACTATAGTTCAAAATTTTATTCGAAAAAAACGAAATAAAAATGAAACTTCTTTTCCCTATGTCTCCGAAACTAAGCAACTTAGATTTAACATATACGAACTTAATTACTAATTTTTATCTGCAGAATATGCTGCCGAAGTTTCCCGAAACGATTCGGAACACCCTGTATATTAATGTTTATAATAATATTCTTTTTTCTCTGTTAACATACAGAATAATTTTAATTATTATAAATATTTAGAGTATTTTTATTGGTATCTTAATTTTCTTTTCATGTTGCTCAGTAATTAATGATTTTTATCTAAACAAAAATATTGTAGATATTTAAACCCGATTTTCAAATTGGCATATTTGGAAATGGTCTATTTATGGTCTAATTTGTTATTTTCAAAACGGAATTAATTATATTTAATTCAAATCAACCATACGGTACTATATTATGGTGTGTTAGAAAAATATATTACCTAATAAATTTAATCATTTTGAGAGTTATTCGCAACCCTGATCTATTTAATCTGCATATGGCGCGTAAAAATGAAAATGTACAGGGTGTAAATGAGTGAAGCCCGAAAAAATGATTGAGCTAATAGTTTTTTTAATAATAAATAAGGTTTTCAAAAAAAATCGATTTGGCGTTTTACTATAATTTTGTTTGCCTTTACCTACCGGCTGCGTCTCAAAATTGGTTCACCCCTATAACTTTTTTATTTTTTCAGATGAAAAACAGGTTTGGTATATTAGTATATGACATAAATTAGGATTGATTGATGTATTCAATTATTTTTTGTCACTTCCTGTTTCACCGGAAATGATGACAACTTTTGATTTTTAAACGGCACCCTCGGTATATTTTTACTTTATTCGATAGAAAATGACACTTTGAATAGAAAGACATATCATATTATGTCAACTTTTGATATTTTCGCTTAAAATCAAATATTTTAAATTTATTTAAATTAACTCTTTCTTCTTCTTTAAAATTCTCTTTTTAATATTTTTTTTATTTTTAATCATATCTCAATTTTTCAAATGGAACGAGGGTGGCTCATTAGCATAATTGGAAAAGGCATTTTTTTACGAATAATTTGGTACTATACACATGGTATTTTGAGTCAAATTATCGTTATGAACCGCATATTACAATTTCAAATAAACCCACAAAACATCCCTCTTTAGAACTTCGTCTGTCATGTTAAGAAATGAAAGTAAATAATAAAGCGCCTCTCGTGTTTGTTCGCACGCTAAAAATTTCAATTATTGCCTGTATATATTTTTTAAATTTACAGTTTTTTAATTGTAAAGTAATATATTACATTTAAATGGAATATATTACTTAACAATTATGTCAATTATAGGATTACAAGCTTGTTTTCTAACATTTTTTAAATAAAACGAATTATAAAATTTCAATATGTATATTTGTCGTAGGTATGAAAAAAGTATATATATAAAATGGACAAACGCTTACTTACATTGCAATAAAACTTCCACTTTTCGTTTTGCAATCCAAACGCAATTATTTCTATTTCACAAATAAAAATATCCGACAACACTAAAATCACTGAAACTTCCGCGGCTAACACCGAAAACTGAAAAATATAACGGCACTTTTTGTTTTGGACCTGCATATCAACATAACGCTGTACCATTATGTTTTTGTTTTTGAAATAATACAAAATATCTAATTATAACTTGTAAATTTTAATATTTTAACATGATTTTAACTATTTCTGACATTAACTAACTTTTTGTTATCAAGATGACATTTTAGACGGCAACTGACATATATGTCATAATATTTAAATTTTAAATATGTAAATATAATTTAAATTAATATAATGCAACTTTATACAAAGAAAACATTTATACATTCACAAAATACAACAAAGGATAATAATATAGTTTGAAAACAATGAATATTGAATTAAAATTAAAATAAAAATTAAAAAAGTTAAGCGCGACCCCTTGTGTCAAAATTAGATGATTAAATTTTCGCAATTTTTACACCATTTGATGACCGGTGGCGCCTCTAGTGTTTGTTCGGGCGGTTGGGCTTTTACTCCCGCTTATGGCCATTAAAGAAAAAGTTCTAAAGGGGGATGTTTTGTGAATAAACCATATGCAAAAATGTCAAAAGGTGACATATGATGTCATTCTATTCAGAGTGTCATTTTCTAACGAATAAAGTGAAAAATACGGAGAGCGTCATTTAAAAATCAAAAGTTGTAGTCATTTCCGGTGAAACAGGAAAATTATAAAATTTCATCTCAATCTTAATTTTGCACAAAAACCTTTATTGTGATATAATCGAGAATATAATTAAATGTGATAATTTACAAACATATAACTGCTATGAAAGTATATCGATTTATTATGGTTAATTATTAAAAATGTCGAATGAAAGGTGTAATTTCACAGTTACTTCGATTTTCTTAACAAAATAATTAAAATTTTTGGATAAAATGTAATAAAAATTACAAAAAAAATAAAACAATAGTAATTTTTGATTTCAAAAATAATGCATTAGTGATTCACAGGAAAAAAATTAAAAAATGGCAAATTTTAAAATTGTTTTTGATAGTACAAAAATATTTCTGGTAGGCACTAAGTTAATTCACTAAATTTTAGTTTGGGACCCATGCCCAGAACCAGAGATATGCATATGGGATGAGGCTTAAATAAGTGCAAATATTTTCAGGGCTGGTAGATCTCGAAAAAAGAAATATAATTTTTCTTTGCCGTTTTTCAAATATCTTCAAAATAGCCGAGTTATTTAACTTGGAAAATTATAAAATAAATGAACACTTTGAAAACCGATGGATTTTTTCTGTTTTTTTGTTTCTCTAATGTTAATCTACTTTCTATGTTGCCATATTATCAAGATATTATTATGTTGATAAGAGAAAATGTTTGGATAAGAGAAGATCTTTGGAATTTCTTTAAATTTTTAGTTAAAAAATATATCTTGTAATATGGCAACATAGGTAGTAGATTAAACTTACAAGGAAGAAAAGATCCGGCGGTTCTCAAAATTCAAGCGAAAAATCATTTTTTTTAATTTTTAAAATAAATAAAAGAGTTATTCAAATTTGAAAATTAAAAAAATACAGGGTTGTTCACCACATACGACACGGAGTATTATAGCTAAACGATTAGATTTATACAAATTCTAAATTTTGGGTTCGTTGAAGGAGCTACAATTTAAAAATATTTTTACAAGACACAGAGTATCCCAAATAAGTAAAAAGTATTATAGTTGTATTTTTTAAATTGAACACCCTGTATATTATTCTATTTTTAGATTCTACGATTGAAATGAAGGTAAATTTCATTAAGGGTTATCACACTTAAACCTTACAGTTTTTGAAATATATTTAATTTTGTCAAATTGTAGTAAAAAAATTAAGGCTTCGTTTCTCCAAGGGTATCAAAGATTTTAATACTAAATATTTACTGAAGTTTATTTATTGATCGATATTGTGTTCCAATAATAAACAAAATACTACATTATACAGAGTGTCTAAACATTTATATTAAATAATTACTCGCTTTAAACGGCAATGACTTGTTTAATTTAAATAGAACACCCTGTATATTTTACGAGAATCAGATGCACAATTTAATTGTCTATCAAATTGTATTATACCATTTTTTACCTATCTCTTCAAGTTTTCGTAGAAAACGCATTTTCTTACAATTTATAACTCATTTATCACTATATCTATGGAACAGTACAGATACTAATATTGTCCATATAGTCTGCTTATTTCATTAAAAAGTAAAAAAAGCCCTTAATATTTTTTTGTTAAAGAGGACCAATTAATATGATCCCAGTATTCAAACTACATTAATTGACTGTTTACGTTGATTAATAGTAATTGCTCCAAATACTAAAAAACTGAATTTTGTGTGTGTATTAGACAGTGTGGTAAAAAGTTTTTTGAATGTCTGGAGTGCGGTAGACAGATAATATCACGTATCGGGCTTTTCAGTCACAGAAAAGCTCATGAAAGAAAACGCCTTGCGTGACCATCTTCTGATGCGTGTCAAATACTCGTCAGCAAGTAATGGCGGTATGGTGGTAAAAAGCTTATAAATTTTATTTCATTTTTTGACGAATTCTTATTTATAACAACGGAGACTTTATATTGATTTCTCAGTCAAATCCACATTTATTTAGATAGTTTATTAATAATAATTTATTAACTAAAACAATTAGGTACGTAATTAACTATTTTTTGGGCAGAAATTATAATGGTATATTTAAATGGTTCACTCTTTTACAAAGATTTGAATACTTTTCTTTTTGTAAATAAATGGGCTTACAATGTTATTATTTTTACCACCTGCACATTTTGTACATATGTTGCTTTAAAAAAATCTAAAATGTCAATATTCCATGGGTATAGCGATAAATGAGGTCTAAGTTATAAGAAAATGCATTTTCTACGAAAACTTGAAGAGATGTAAAAAATAGTGTAATACAATTTGATAGACAATTAATTTGTGCATCTGATTCGCGTAAAATACACAGGGTGTTCTATTTAAATTAAACAAGTTATTGTCGTT